TCCAGAGAAAACTAGATCGCCCAGATGGCTGATTTCTTCTCAGAAATAATGGAAGCTAGAAGTCAGTGAAATGACATCTTTGAAGTAGTGTTAGTCTAGAATTCTATATCCAGTGAAATGATTTTTCAGTGACAGTAAAATAAAGTCATTTTCTGAACCTTCCAAAAATGTTTTGACTACCAAAAGACTGTGAAGAGTACATTTTACAGAATGTTCTTTAGAAATAAATCAATGATCCCAAAGGAAAGTATGAGTTGCAAAAAGAAGTAAAACAAAGAATGTGCACTTGACCCTTGAACAACTCAGTAGTTAGGCACACTGACCCCTCTTGCAGTTGAAAACTCACATATAACTTCTGACTTCCTCAGAACTTAACAACTAATAGCCTACTGTTGACTGGAAGGTTTACCAATAACTTCAACAGTTGACTAATACATATTTTGTATGTTATATGTATCGTATACTATATTCTTATAATACAGTAAGCTATAGAAAGAAACTTATTAAGAAAATCATAAGGAAGAGATTATTATTTTATTGTTCATTATGTGGAAGTGGATCATCATAAATGTCTTCATGGTCATCTTCACATTGACTAGGCTGAGTCATAGGAGGAGGAAGAAAAGAGGTTGGTCTTCCCATCTCAGGGCTTTCTTCTTATATGTAGAAGAAGATCTACATATAAGTAGACACAACCAGTTCAAACCCTTGTTTAAGGGTCAACTTTATTTGTAAATCTATATATACATTGATTATTTAAAGTAGTAACAGTAATGAGTAATTTCTAGGGTTAAAAAATTCAAGATATCATTATAATCATGGGAAGCTCATACATGGGCACAAGAGCTAGATGGGTAATTAGTTAAAACATTCTAAATTCCATATTGTCTAGAAAAAGAGGATGACTTTAGATTTTGTGTTGTTAGGTACCTGTGATCAAATACCTAGGATTACCACTAAATAATAGAATTATAACAACCAAACTGTTATAGGGAAATAATTATGGAAACAAACATAAATGTATCAATAAACACAGTTACAATAAATGGACTTAGTCTCTAGTTAGAGACAGATAGTCTAGCTTCAAAAAACAACATTATGTTCTATTGATAAGAAACATAACTAATATGAACATAGAATGTTTGAAAGTAAAAAGAATAAAATAATATATAAGTTAAATATTAGCTAGATATATTTATTTCTTTTTACTGAAGAGCTGTAGTGTTACTACATATTCATAAATGATTTGTTTCATTAGGAAGATTAATGATTCCATTCTAAATAAAACAAAATTGATAGAACTGCAAAGCACATTAACAAATCTACACTGTAATAAATGCGCTTGATATAATGGATGTATAAAGAACAATTGGAGGATATATATCATTTTTAAGCACATGGAATATTTGTTAACATTGATCATGAACTCGGCCATTAAGTCTCACAAAATTCAAAAGATTGATTCATAGAAATTATATTCTTTTACCATGAGGCAATCAAGTTACTTGTTATCAAAAGATAATTAAATATCTATATACATTTGAAAATATCAAAACATACTTATAAGTAACCTGTAAGCCAAAGAATAAACCAGAGCTGAATTTAAAAATAGAGGCCCGTATAGTCCAGTAGCACTTGGCATTAATTAATAATAGATACGATGAAGTATAAGAACAGTATTCTCACTAAGAGAACTAGAGACTGGAATAAAAATAACTTACACCATGAAGTAATATGCAAGAAGAGCTTAATGAAGAATGATAGTTATTAATTACTAGGTTCAGGGGAAAATTAAGAGTTGAGCTTGAGCTTCCAAAGAAATAGTTTTTCTTTTAAAAATTGAACATTTTGGTCAGGCGTGGTGGTTTGGCGGGAGGATGGTTTGAGGCCAGGAGTTTGGGACCAGCCTGGGCAACATAGCAAGACCCTGTCACAACAAAAAGTAGAAATAAAAAAAAAAAAAAATTATCCAGGCATGCTATAGGCATGCACCACCACACCCAGCTAATTTTTTTCATTTTTTGTAGAGACGGGGTCTCCCTATTGCCCAGACTGGTCTCAAACTCCTGGCCTCAAGTGATCTTCCTGACTCAGCCTACCAAGGTGCTGGGATTACAGGCATGAGCCACCATGCCCAGCTCTGTACCACATTTTCTTTGTCCATTCATTTGTGAGGGACACTTAAGGTTTCATCTATATCTTGGCTATTGTGGATAGTGCTGCAATAAACATGAGAGTGCTGATATCTCTTTGATGTACTTGTTTCCTTTATTTTGGATGTACACTCAGCAATGGGATTGCTGGGTCATATGGAAGTTCTATTTGTAGGTTTTTGAGGAAACTCCATACTGTTTTCCATAGTGGCTGTACTCATTCATATCCCCACCAAAAGTGTACTAGCATTCCCCTTTCTCCACATCCTCACCAACATTTATTATTTTTTGTCTTTTTGATAATAGCATTTTGATTGGGGTGAGATAATATCTCACTGTGGTTTTGATTTGCATTTCTCCAGGGATTAGTGATGATTAGCAGTTTTTCATATACTTATTTGGCCATTTGTATGTTTTCTTTTGAGAAACGTCTATTCAGATAATTTGCCCATTTTTAAATTGAATTATTTTTCTATTAATGAGTTTAGTTCTTTATACATTCTTGTTATTAATCTCTTGTCAGATGGATAGTTTGTAAATATTTTCTTCCATTCTGTAAGTTATCTTTTCATTCTGTTGATAGGATTTTTTTTTTTATTGGCTGTGCAGAAGCTTTTTAGCTTGTTGTAATTCCATTTGTCTATTTTTGTTTTTGTTGCCAGTACTTTTGATGCCTTACCCCAAAAAAATCTTTGCCCGGACCAAGGTCCTGAAGCATTTCTCCAATGTTTTCTTCTGGTAGTTTCATAGTGTGAGGTCTTACATTATTTAAATCTTTAGTCCATTTTGATTAAGTTTTTGTATATGGTGAGAGAGAGGAGTCTAGTTTCATTTTTCTGTATATAGATATCTAATTTTCCCAGCACCATTTATTGAAAATGCTGCCCTTTCCCCAGTCACCCTTGTCAAAAATGAATTGGATATATATAAATGAATTTTATTTCTGCATTCTCTATTCTATTTCACTGGTCTTTGTTTTTATGCCAGTACAATGCTGTTTTGGTTACAATAGCTTTGTGATATATTTTAGTCTGGTAGTGTGATGCCTCCACCTTTGTTCTTTTTGCTTAGGATTGCTTTGGCTATTTGGGGTCTTTTGTGGTTCCATACAAATTTTAAGATTTTTTTTTCCTACTTCTGTGAAGAATGTCATTGGTGTTTTGATAGGGATTGCATTGAATCTATAGGTCGTTTTGAGTAATATGAAAATTATTATTAATTCTTCCAATCCATGAGCATAGAATATCTTTCCATTTATTTGTGCCCTCTTTAATTTCTTTCACTGGTATTTTGTCACTTTTATTTTATTGTAATATTTTCAGTCTTGCAGTTTTTATGAGGTTTGGTTATATTACTTCATGCATTGTTAATAATTTGACAAAATATTCTATAATCTTTGATCCAGTAATTCTACTTCTAGGAGTTTGTCTCAAGGTATAAAATGATATACATACTGAAGGTTGTTCTTAATATCCTTTTCAACATTATTGAACAACTGGGTAAAGTTCCAGAAATAAAAGACTTATTAAAGAGCTTATAGTATGTGTATATACTTACAGACAGATATACACACACACACCACACACATATTTGTATATATACCATTTAAAGAATTACACAATATATTAGTAACCCTTAAAATAACATATAGGTTAATATTTATATAGAAATATAAGCATGACATTACTAAGAAACAGAAAGCAGTATGTAATATCTCATTGATGTAAACTTGCATGTGTGCCTATCAGTTGTAAGCAGTAACTTATTTACAGTTGCACAGATGGCAGAAAAACCCCACGACAAATGTAGTCTGAGCCAGCTATGCTGTAAAATACACTGTAATAACTGTCACATCCCTCTTCTGCAACCATGGCACTCATTAGTCATCAATCCTAGTGTTTTTTCTCTGGGCTCCAATATGCCTTAGAATTCTTCTCAACATACAGTTTTAGGTCACCATTTCTAAGCAAAGATTCTTCTCATACTGTTTTAGGCCTCCATTTCTCAGCAAATTGTACTTTATACTTGGAATTTCTTTGCCATCCTTATAACAAGATGATCTTAGAAATCCTTTCACCTAAAAGACTTTTCTGATCAAGGAACAAAGTTATTGTGGCAAGAAATAACAGGGAATCTCTTTCAGAAAATAATTTTTAATTTACTAGTATCCACGTTTTAAAAAAAAACAGTAAAAAGGTGAAAACAAACTGGTGATACAGATGTTGATGAAATATTGCAGCATGTAATGATATAAAACAATGATTGAGATATTTTACCCTCTCATTTTTTCATACAAAATTTTTGAAACCCAGTGTGTGTTTACAGCACATGTTGTTTTAGATAATGCATTTTCTTTGGACATACTTGATCTGTATTTAAATTTGCAGTTTACAAAGCAGATTCTCATACCCATCTCAAATTTTCTAATAATGGAATTGTGTTTTCGTTTTTAAAATTTAATTAAAATTAAATAAAATTCAACATTGAGATGGAGTTGCACCGGCCACATTTCAAGTGCCTGATAGCCACATGTGGCTGGTGGCCCCCAGATGGCTCAGTAGAAGTTTGGAGTATACAAAACATACCAATTGGTTTTAGCCTTCAAGGAGATTTTCTGATAGGGAAAGCAAGATATCAAGAATAAACATATTCAGAATATAAAGCCAAAACAGTATAATTAAGTGCTGAAAGTTTGCCATGGCTAAAGTGCTACTTGGGAAGGAAGTTCCAGAAAGGCCACAGCTGGATGCCTTCTTCACCACTTTGAAGCCTGGGTGGTGGCAGTGACCTGTGGGTTTGTGAGAATGGAGCGTCTTGCTTTAGAAAGTGTGTGTGTTCTGCCTGCAGGCATGGGACCCGCTGTGCTGGAGAAGTGGCAGCCGCTGCAAACAACTCTCACTGCACGGTCGGCATTGCTTTCAACGCCAAGATCGGAGGTACGGGAAACAAAGGGAAACAAACTTACGTGGGTATAGAAACGAGCTCTTTCGCTACCTGGCTTTCAGAACCCTTGTTAAATGAAAGATGAACCATTAGGCGTATCTTTCCATAATAGTGTTCAACTATTGGTGACAGCAAAATGTTCATATTAACATGTGTGTTAAATATAGTTCCAGACTTCAAATAGTTAAAGACTTCCAAAGCAGTACCCCTAAAGTGTTGCAAACATTGTTTTAAAAAAACAGCCTTGAAAAAAGGTTATCCAGTAGTGAAGATGAGCATTGCCATTTGTACCAACACTATATAATTGGTGCCAGGGTCAGAAAGAACTAGTAATATAAACATCAGGCCGTATCTCTGGGGAAAGAAGAATTTTGAAATTTCCTCAAAGCAGAAATTCTTTTTATTTCTTTTGCTTAGGCCTGACAAAAAGTTCCTTTTAATTGTAATTAAAATAGTAAATGGTAAAATTTTCTCTTGTAGTCCCATATTGTAGTGATACAGTTTTCATGAATGATTCAGATATCTGTACATGTGCACACCTTTGTACAAACTCAACTATGCATATGCTTACTGCAAGAACCCAGCCAAACCAGTATAAAAATCCAACCATTTATAGAAGCAAACTCTAACTTTCCCATTTGTAATCATCTTTGTAAGCAACAGCCTGGTGCCACAGGCCACACACAATGAGAAGAAACCGTTATAGTAGATTTGATAGAGGCTGGTGACTTTATTATGCCTGGCCTGAAGGTGTTCCCTAGGGGTCTCCTAAAAGGTATCATAAGGTGAATGAAGCTTCTGGAACCAGGCTGATCTCCTTGTTTCCCATGCACTATTTGTTTCCAAGTGGTAAGCAGAGTTGGAACTAAAAAATAAAAATGACAGTTCTTTCTAGGATTAGAATGTAAATATAGAGGTCCTATATCATGAACTATTTAGAGTATATAACAGAGCTTAGAAAAGGTTTTCTGAAACTACCTTCAGTGTCGGTTGACATTACATTTGACCTCTTTGTTTCCTTTATTTCACCCTGAATTCTTAGGGTGAATGAGCAGTAATTAGCTGTGCTCAGGGAGCATCTTCTGTGTGTCAAAGTGATTGCAGGTGGAGGAGCTGAGGAAAGGAGAAGATGACATTCCTTGAAGAATGATGAGGGTTCTGGAAGCCTCTGCTCTTCCCAGGAGAATCTGATCAGGGGCTGCCCAGTTGAGCCTTCTGCTGGTACAGGACACAGTCTCTCACATCCACAGACCAGAGCCTCAGCATCATTCTGAACACAAACCCAGCATTCCTACTGACCTTGGAGGAATGAGGGGATGAACTTGTGAACTCACAGAAAAAAAGCTGACCTAGCTTAACAGCACCTTAGAAAAAAAAAAGAAAGCCCAAAAAAATGAATGTATAGCAATGACTCAAAAATGTTCTAAAACAAGAACATTCTGAATTATAAATTTAACCCCAAGACGCAAGGCATGAAGGCTTGGAGTTAAAATGAGGAAAAAGAAGCCGACTTTTATCTTTAAATGTGACTAAATGAAATTCTTTTCTGTGAATTTTTGAACAGAAAATTAATAGTACCCTCTAGGTATGATTTAGCAAGCATTTTTTTTTCATGGATTTCACATAAATTGCATGACATAGAAACTAAATTCAGGTGTTGTGTCTTAGTCTCATGTTGGCATTTAGACACACTGGTGAGATTATTTTGGGCAATTATAGTGTTTATTTCAGACCTCATTGTACCAATAAAGTAGTTTCATGTTATGCTTTTATAAGAAGCATATAGAAGCATATATATAGAAGCATATTTTCATATAGAAAATAAGAAGATATGGTAGTTCATCTTCCTTTGCTAAAAAACATGCAGGTGAAATTTGAATGTTCCTATTAAGTTATAATAAACCAGGTACTCAGGACCTGGTACATGCAGAACATTATGCTGGATTTTCTACTCCCATAAAACAAACCACTGGCACACATTTCTAAGTACAATTTCCATTCCACAATTTTTAATGGTACTTGCTCACAGCCTTGGTTCTTCACATCACCTGTTAAAATGCATCTCCTTTAAATATCCAAGTCTAGAGGAAAAGCTAATCAAGAAACATAACAACCAAATGCAATGTCTTTAGAGATACTTGAAAAAAGTGTAATGTTGACTGGGTGTTAGGTGACACTAGGGATGCATTTTCATATTTTTTGTAAAAAAAATAAAGGATGAAGGGTCATATCTATCATGGGATTTAAAGTGATTCAACCTAATATTTATAGTTTTGGATTAAGAAAAAGTGACAAAATGTTAACAGTTGTTGAGTACTGGTTATATAGGGTTTTTTTTTGTTCGATATTTCTATTTTTCTTTGAAGTTCTGTAGTTAATGGTTAAACTATTTTTTAAAGCACAAAGAAGGCAGTTTTTTCAAGAATATTTTGGTTTTATACCAGTATTCCCACCTCAATCCAAATGGTATTTAAAGCTGCCTGATTTTCGGTTTTATTAGTTAATCTCCATTTATTGATAACCAATAAAATCTTGAAATCTTACTGAATAACAAGGTTTTACTAAGGACAGTATTTGGCCTGTGAAGATATAATTTAAAAATAATACAATGTCTCACAGATGGTATTTGGTTTAAGCTGGAGGAAAGATATGTTTACTTAACGATTAGATGTTTTGTTGTCGTTTTTGCTAGTCTCCAAAATAAAAGTAAAAAAGGAAAGCCTGGCGTTTGGCATATAATTGATTTCTGAATATCTTAGTGTCTAATTTTGTAAGATAAGGTTAATAATAAATTCCTGTCTTTCTGATGGGAATATACTTAAATGAAGATTAATGACTAAACATTGCTGAACCCTTTGAGAACTATTTGAAGTGTTGCATGCACAGAGAGCATGTGCTCATTTGTTATTTGACTTATAAATAACTTAGTAAAAAAGAAATACATTAAGTTCACATCAATCTTACAGATTAGTGTATAATATTAAATATGGAAGAAATGAGACCAACCTAACTTGGCAGCTTTCCAAATTTTATAAGATGTTAGAATGTTTTGTAACCAATTAAGAACACAAGTTATTCAATGAAAAGAAATTTAAGAAAGATGGATTGCTTGAGGGTCTCCCTGTCAAGTACTCAACACAGAGAGAGTCGAGGAGAAGGGAGTTTGCGGAGGCTATTGTGCGAATTGGAACCTTGGAAAAAGAAAATAATAGATATACAAGGTTTTAAGAAAGTTTTGCTTTTGCTTTTTTACATGCAGTGTAATTTCCTTTCTCCCCAAGATAGAGTCCACAAAGTGTGCGTTATCCTTTTGCTGGGGGAAATATGCTCACTTGAGTGTTGATTCATAATTTATTCTTTCCCCCCAAAATCCTGCAGCTGGTTTATTTGGGCATCACACAGAGAAGCCTCTGTAACGAGCCAGTTCTCCTTTCTGTTCTGAAGGAGTGCGGATGCTGGACGGAGACGTCACGGACATGGTGGAAGCGAAATCGGTCAGCTTCAATCCCCAGCACGTGCACATATACAGTGCCAGCTGGGGCCCGGATGACGACGGCAAAACTGTGGATGGACCAGCCCCCCTCACCCGGCAAGCCTTTGAAAACGGTGTTAGAATGGTAGGTTTGAATAAGACCTAGGCTCACACTGTGTTGATGGGTGACGATTCTTATATGTAAGAAAGAATGTGTGCGTTTCCTTCTCTTGCCCTTCAATCTAGAGGGGTTGGATGGAGCTCTTAGGCTGAGCGAGCAGAATGGCTCATGGGAAGAGGTGTTGTTGACATGTGGGATCCTGAGTTGTTTCTCTTCTGTGAGTGCACTAAGAGCTAGAGAGCTTCCTCTGAAGAGAACAGAGGTATATTTAGATGATTAGATTAGTTCAAGGGAAATATGTTGACTAGTATGTGAATCTTGCATTCAGAGTAGTCCATTCTTGGGACTCAGAGATTGGAAATATTGACACTCTATAGGTGGTGTTGATGGATCATCCAGTAGTGCTCTTCCGGGCCTCTCCCTTTTATAAGTCCCTGCCCAGTCTCACCTCGGTCCCGGGACAGTATTTTCATACTGGCACCCAATCTCTCTAACCAGATAGCTTAACCCATCAATATTTTCCTTGATTTCACTAAAAAAACCATTGACCACTATTCCCCCCAAAACTGACCACATAATCTAATGTAATAAAACGTCTGTTTCACGTTACAGATCTTAAGAAATCCTGCCTTATTTAAGTTAAATAAAAAACAAGGGTGGTAATTTTTATAGTCACAAAAGGTGGAGACCTCCACGGGAAGCAATATCTTCCTCTTCTTTACTTGTGAATGGACTTCGGGGTGATTTAAAGCATACATTTAATCATGTTCATTTAAGGCCATCATTGATCTGGCCCCAACTTCACTTTCCTTCCTCATCTCTTTTTACTCCTTGTAATGTATATGAGCTCCTTCTTACTGTCCATCAGCACATACTGCTTTCCTTCCAAATTGCACCATGCCCCATCGCAAGTCCTCGCATTATTGGCCAGGTGCTATTTGACCTTTAAACCTCAGCTAAAAGTTTACTTCTTCCCAGAAGCTTTCTCCCTGCCCAAACTAAAATTAGGTGTAAGCAGTCCCTACCTATGCTTTATATTCTTACTGGTGTTACATGGCGTCCTTATTATATTGTGCTTTATATCAGAGTTAGTTCTGGGTGTATGTTTCTCACTAAATTGTAAGTTGCTGGAGAGCTGAAATTATGCTCTACACATCTTTATGGGCTTTGCAAAACCTAGACAGTGCATTGAATTCTAGGGAATAGTTAATAAAAGTTTGTTGAATCAAATTTAATTTACTACAAATGATGCTAACCACAGGGGCTGTTATATATTCAGCCCAAATTTGAAACAGTAGAATGCATTCATTTGGTTAATGTAACATTATAATTGGAGTAAAAAGTAATAATCATTCTCCCATATTTTTATGGGATTGGTGTTAGGGTTTTAATGGAAAAATGATCTAAGCCATCTACTGGTTATTCTGAAGTTGACTGGAGAGAAAATTATATACATGTTCTGTAGCCCTTCCTAACTAAATGATAGTTCAGATTTGATTAAGACATTCACTTTTCTAACTCGGTCCAATTTTCAGCTACATTACAGCCCATTTAAACGATAGGATAATGTTTTAACTCATTGCCTGCAAGTTTCCTTTCAAGGTACCTTAACACCAAATGAATGTACTGCATATAATCTGGTGATTTCATTACCAAAACCATGGACTACAAATTACTATTCTATCTCTCCATGCCATCAATAGAACAATCATTCAAATTAAGTAAACCAAGCTTAGTTCATATTTAATCTCAAATTCTATATGTATGGTTGTTATAGTAAAAAGCAATCTGAAACTTCTCACTAATATGAAAATACTTAGATTAGTAATGCACATGGTGTCATGAATGTGCATATACAGTTATAAAAAACCTAATAGCCAATAGTTGGTTTTACCAACGGACTAACAGTCCTGTCACTGAATCAGATGACATGAACCAATGATTTTCAAACTTATTTTTGCTGAAGAATCTTTTTCTCAGTGAAAATCTTAACTGGAAGCTTAGTGTATAAAACAAATAAGAAAATATGGTACTTTGGTTGAAAGAAGAAAGGGTCAAGATTAGAAAAAAATCATCTGAGAAAGCTACTTAAACATATAGGAAGATTATATTTAGAAATAAGTAATTTGGAAAATATTTACATTGTAATCATTATTAATTACAAAAATAACCTATGCTTATTGTGACAGATGTATAAAGATGAAATTAACAGTAGATTTCTCCACCCATCCAGGTAACCATTGTTAAGAATATAGAACACATCTTTCCATAGTCCTGTACACATTAACATGCCAAACATAATCATCTACCCCTCCACATTGCTCCATTCACCTGTCTACCACGGGGGTCCTTCTAGAACAACCCATAAAACAGAACTCATCAGTTTTATTTGTTTCAAAATGTTTGAAGTTTAGAGATACCATGTTTTTTCATTGAAGATCTTTCAAGGTTTTAACCTGTAAAAAAAGGAGCTCAGTTTTAAAACAAACCATTCAGAGTTGAGGTAGTAACAAAAGAAATAACTTCTAAAAAGGACAAATTATTTTATGGCTCCTCACATTGCACATCTAAATATGGAAAAACAGTGGTGACCCATTTAGATGTGATAAGGTCAACAGGATAGTATTTTCACTTGTTTAATAGGCTTTTGGGCTGGGCTAGGGTTGAGTCCAGTATCCATCATTTACTTCTCTCTGACCATATATAGATCAAGGTACCACTCTGTTTCCATTTTCTTATCTAAGGTAGGATGAAAAGAGTATGCACAGAGATGTTATAAGTGTTAAATGAGATGAAAATGCATATAAAGTAATTATCACAATGCCTAAATTATAACAAATGCACTTAATTTTTTTCAGAGTAAAGATCATGTCCTTCTAAAAAACGGTTTATATTTTTCCTTAATACCTCATCCTTCTCTCCTATCCTATTTCCACACTGCAGAGTTCTAAATGATTCCATTGAGTTCCCTGTTGGGGCAGATTAAAAATAATATGGTTCAAGTGAACATAGACTTTCTGAGCTCTGTAATTTATTTTGTTCTTCCTATGTCTGTACATGCCTTCAATTTCATTTGGCCCTAAAAGCACATCTTTAATTTCAGTGAGATAACCTCTGGATATATAAATTCATTCCAGTTGTCTATGTTTGTAATCTTGAATTTGGTTTATATTTTCCCAAAGGATATTTCTCTAAATATCTATGAATATATAATTTAATATTTTTAAGCAGTACATTAGATAGTCTTTTAGGAAAAAAGAAACATTTTACTGCTTTCTGTGTTCTTAGGATCCAATGAGACAGTAAATTTGATAGTCTTTGAGATTATTCTAATTTATGTTTTTATATAATACGTATTGTCATATATAGAGAAAATAATTGGATAAAAACTTTATGCAAAGTTAGATTATGGAGTAAAATAAAGAAATACGTAATTTTTTAGCTCAGTGATTTAAGGAATGAAAAATAAATGACTGATGAAATAACTCTGTCAGTTAGCTAACTGAAAACCTATGCACCAGCCTAATGTCACCCTGACCTTTTGGCATTTTAACTACATCATCTACAAAAATGCAGGGATTTGAATTTATTCATTCATCTTATTAAATTTAGTGAGTTCCCACATTCTTTACACTGTAGATAAAGAGGTGAAAAAGACATCTAAGTTGTTTATGTAATACATAAAAGTCCCTACATTCTAGCAACAAGACAGAAGACAAACAAGCAAAGAAATATTCAAGACTGTTTCAGCAGAGGATAAAAGTAATGAATGAAATTAAACTGATGGCTGAGAGAAGGCAGAACTGCTTTAGTCAGGGAGGGCAGGGTATCCTCTCCGAGCAGGTGATATTTGAATGGAGACATAAATGATAACAAGCCAGGTATGTGAAGAATTTGGAGGGAGGTGAATGTTCTATGCAGAAGGATCCCCGAGTAGGGAAAGATTTTGGTGTATTCTCAGAACAGAGTGCTAATTTGGGTTTTGGAAGCAACGGGATTAGAAAGGGCAGAGGGAGATGGTTTGGAGGGGTAAGCAGGGGCCAGCTCAACAAGACTTTTTAAACCATGGAGCGTGTTTGCTTTATTCTGTTATAGGAAGCTATTGGAGGTTTTCAAACATGGTACACAATTTTAAAAGATCACTGCTAAGAAAATAAATTAATTAATTAATTAATTAATTAAAAGATCACTGCTGTGTAAACAGTGGGCTGGCCGTGGGGTGAGGGATGGGCAAGGGTGGAAGATTGAAGTAGTCCAGGGGTACACTGGACCAGGGTGGCAGCGGCTTCAAAACCACCAAACAGAGACAAGCCTAAGTATCAAGCAAGATTTGCAAGGAGAAAATAAATAAATTTTGCTCAGGGAGTCCAAGTATTGATTGCATCCATTCCTTCTGCTTGCTAATCAAAAAATGTAGCAAATATTGGATTTCAAAATGCTCCCTGTTTGTTTACTATAAGATAAGCATTTGGCTCAATAGAATGTAACACTGTTTCCAAAGACTTTAACAAAATCAGAATTAATTCAATTTATAGCCCCGTTAGAATTAACGTGCCAAAATTGCATTAAAGAAACTGTGTTAAACAAACCATGTCACAGGTGACAACTTGCTCTTTCTCCTAAGGAATGCATTTTATTTTATTTTAAGGAGCTATAAAATTAAGTGCAAGAGTTAGAATTATAAAATGTAGGCTGCCTACAATTAGTAATAATAATAATAATAGCAGCATGAACAACATTTAAGATTTTGGCTAGTCTATTATAGTATAGTCACTCTTCTAAGCCCTAAAATAGATAATTTTTAATCTTCATAATGATGTCATAAGATAGGTAATGATTATAAAGAGGAAAACAGAAAGTCAGCACAGCTAAAGAAGTCAGAATATGGGCCATAATGAAATCTAGTAAACTGTGTTACTTGTCATTTCTATTTTACTTAGCATACCTAACCTTCCACTTTTATCTGTAACTACACACTCTCAACTTTTCTCCTGTTACTACTGTAATTAATTTTTTGTCTCCTA